TCCAAATTTTATCCAAATATTGGTCAATACCCAAATAAATTTTTGCAATTTGATATCCAAAATTTTCCGGGTCCCTGCACGTACCGTATACCATCTGAATTTATTTAGCTGTTAGACAATCTAAATACGTATATTAAATTCAATTACTAAGTGCAAAGAAATTTTGCCTTAAAAATTAAAAAAGGATAAACTGCAGCCATCCTAGTGTGGATTAAAGTTAATGTTAAGACAGATTAAGGAGCTGGAGTTCGAGATCAGCTCAAGGAGCTGTATCTACAGTGCCTATAGATGGTCCTCCAGCAAATAATAGATTGAGGTCTTGTGATTTGTATACACTATCGCTATATATATATATATATATATATATAGAATATTTACTCATTTTGCGAAATAAGGATTATGTAATCACAATTTATGATTGTAAATTACATGAATATCGATATGTTGTGCATCAAGTTTAATACGTATCCGATCACTATGTAAAGATCACAGGAGTTTATTATTACTAACATAAACTTTCACCTTCACTCTCATGAAACTCTGTATTTCGATCTGAAACAAATTTTAATTTGACGTATATCTGATTGGCTACATCCGCATGCGTGATACAAAAACGCGAAATTTTTAATTAGTATAACCAACGGGTAAGTTTACGTCATTCTTGTAGGAGAGGAGGGAGCATAATTGACATTCCTTCACGTATGTGGTCATGTTATACTACCTAGGATACACGGTATGTATTTTATGCTACACCCCATTTTATCGGCAGGATTGATTAGTTCTACCGTGATTTTACCTAAGAGGTGTGTCTGCCATTACTAAAAGACGTGGTAACTCAAGATGCGAATTGGCCCTTACTGCTTTACATTGATACGAATTTTCGGTGGGAAATTAGAATAGGCTTCATATCTTATATTTAGAGTGCCGTCTCCATCGTGTGACCTGATCACTACTGTTTATCTGATAGTGGCTAACGTATTTCTGATATAAGTATGCTATAGCAGAATAATCTTATCGTTATATATGAACTATACAGAAGAGAATTTAATTTTAATAGTGCATGAACGTTAGGACATACCCGGAGACTAGTGTATATTTATCTAGTAATTTCGGCAAAATGTGAAAAAAAAATTAGCTAATAAAGACTGCCCAAATCCTGGTAAAAAATGTTAATAATACCAATAATTTTTGATGTATGTTTTACTGTTGTTATCATGCTTATCTTTCTATCATTCAAGACCTTTTACGTATTTACTATATTTAATCGAAAGATGTTTGGTTTTGAATAAATTGGTAAATATTGTAGAGTTTAAAAACACTACTCTTCAAATTTAAAAAAGACCCGCTTTAGCATTGTCCTTCACAGATGACATTTTCATCACTGAAGTTTTTCTCACTTTCGCTATTAACTTTCACTACCTTACGTGGTTCACAGTTCCGGTACAAATATCAAGACAATGTTTGAAAAGTTAAGAAATTGTAGCAAAAATGCATTGTTACTATAATACTATAATCATTTTTGTTTAACATTCAATGCGTAAAAAATTCATGAAACAAGTATAACTTGGTTACATGCTGTTATTCAAAACATAAAAATACCAGTTTAATTTATTCACATAATTAGATTCACATCTTTGTAAATTCTATATGTCCAGCTCATAAAAATATAGCTTAATTGATATAAGTGGCTTGCTAACCGAAAAGATCCAATCCCATATCTTCATCAGATTCTTCTTCGGGTTCTTCTTGTTTTGCTGGTGCAGCCGCTTTTGTTTCTGTGGCGGTATCAGCGACCGGTGCTGCAACGGCAAAAGCGGATGGATCTGCGAGATATTGTTTAATCTAAAGTAATATTATGAGCATGGTTAATGAATGATGGCGTGCGAATATTAAGATAATTAACTTATTAATTACCTTTTCAGAGGCAGCAAAGGTATATTCTGTAGTAACAGAAATAGATAATAAGTTCTTGAATCCATTAATAAGTGAATGGGGAGCCGATGCAATGGTGGGATATCCAATTTGCAACGAAATAGCTGCAATCGTCTTGATACCACTTAATAGGTGGTTGATTAAAGTAGATTCCTCAATGTCAAGAACAGAAGGATGGAATGTAGTACCATTATCATAAATTTGTATAACCGTCAACCCATAAGTGAACGGGGAAATATTTAACATGTTCAATAAAGTAGCTTCAGATGCACCAACTTTACCACCTGCCTTCACCAAATGGACGTCATTGATGATTTCAATTGTACCACGGGCAATTTTGGTAGGAACACCAAGAGCTTGGAAGAATGAGGTTTTTCCGGGTTCCATACCAGTGTTACCTGCTGGAACCACTACATCGATTGGAGCAACGGCACCAGCCTTAGCAGGTGCTCGAACCTTTAAATACATGATGGGTTAGAATCTTTAATATTTTTTTCTTTGTTTCAAAATCCATGAATTAATTTTCCATGCGTACCCTGTTCGACAAAATTGCATCTCTTGTCTCTTTCAAATCAAATTTAGTAAACACAAATCCGATGTTACCTTTCACATGAGGTAAGAGCCTTTCATATTGAGGATTCTCATTGATCAAAACTTTTAACGCTCTTCTGACCATAGTATTCTTTCCCATCAATACAATTGCCTTTCCACGAAGGGCATGACGGATTTGGTGCATTTGGTTTGAACCGACATTGTCAACATTTACAATAAAAATGGATTGGTACTCTTCCAATAAATTTTTGAGCTTTTCGAAATATTCGATTTTTTTGGTGCGACCGTCTCCCTTTGACATCTTGAACTTTTCAAAAAATTATTCACGTGTTCAAGGGGATCCTTTATTGGAAGCTTAAAGACAAGTCTGATCATGATTAAAGGTTAAGCGGTAAATTATTATCTAATATCTAATATCTCGGCATGCTTTGCTGTCATCTTGATGAAATTAATACACACCGCAGGTATAGATTTTACAAGCAGGAGGAAAAAAAAGAATTCTAAAACTTTTGCCGATAAATACTAAAAACTAAAATTAGACAACCAATCAGATTTGATCTGCATGTAGCAAATAATTATTTAACGTTACTGTATGTCTCCCGAGAATTTTACACTTGTTTCTTTTTATTTCTATACTCGCATATATATATATATTTATTTATTATTTGTCTCCGGATTTTGTGCAATATATTTAACTGAAAAAAAGAAAATTAATACATTTTCACCAAATAATGGGGATTATTCTTGCTAAGCTGTGGCGCAAGCTCACTAACAAAGAGGAAGTAAAAATTGTGCTCGTTGGGCTGGATAACGCGGGGAAAACTACCGTTTTATATAAACTGTAAGACATTAATTAGAGATTTATTGTTAAAGTTTCATGTATTCAAAGATATTCTATCTTTTTAAAATAGGTTACTGAATGAAGTAGTCGTTACAACACCTACTATAGGAAGTAATGTGGAGGTATATTCAACATTTTTATTAATGGATTCTTATTTGATCAGAATATAATATATATGAATATTTGCGTCTTTTATTTTTATAGGAAATAGTCTACAAAAATATACACTTTTTAATGTGGGCAAGTATCTTTTTTATTTGATTTTCCATCAACACCATTCAGATCATATTTAGTATAGGTGGGCATCTATAGCAATAATCATGGGCAAACTCCGACGATTTTAACTCGGGCAGCGTAACTGATTTAATTTGTGATAACAAGCCACCCGGAGTTAAAATTGTTGGATCTTGCCTACCTTTTAAAGATTAAGCCCCCCAGTTAAATTTGCCCACCCTTACTAAAGGTTAACCCACCCGAACTCCAACTCGTACTAAAGATTCACCCGAGCTGAAATTACCCACATTTATTAAAGATTAAGCGATTAAGCCACCGGGGATTAAAATTGTCCACTCTTAATAAAAATCATGATTTTTTTTTTTTTTTTTTCATGATTGTAGTAAGGGGTGGGCAATTTTAATCCAATTTAATAACAAATTTGAGAATTTGCTCGAGATTCCTATTCACTAATCTGCTTAATAAATCTGAAACTTTTTGATACCATATAGCTTGCTAGTGCACATGTCTTGAGAATGTATTTGCTTAGTCGGTTCTAGTTTAATCTATTAGCTTCTAAAAAATTTTTTTGATTTCATTGTCATCCTGATTCATTTCCATCTAACCAACGAGTGATCGTTTCATAATTTCCGTTACAGTAAGTCGTTTATCAAAGTCTTCATCCATACTTTCGTATCTAATTTAATAAAACAATTAGGTCTAAAAATTTAGGTCTTGATATACCGATAATTCGCAAGACAATTATGTCAAACGGAATTCGGAACAACTTCATCAACTTGGCTACGAATATCAATGCAGTATTAGTGCTAATAAAGGTGAAAAGCAGGCTTTTGAATATTACATGCGAACAGCTGTGCTCGGAATAGAATAAAAATCACCAGAAAAAATTTCAATATTGTAAGAGATCCGCTAATTTGGATGATGCTATTGGAATACATTGAGTTATCATTATGGAATGGATTGGTGGTATCAAGATATTGGGTACAGGCAGTGTTGTACACAGACGTTGTCCCATTAAAATTTCAAGGACGCGGGCAGTCACGGACGTTGTTCCATGTACCGGACAATGCCCATGTCTGTGATGGCGTCCTATATCACAAAGTTTATCAAGCGATCTCATTGGCTAAAAAGGACACAATTTTCAATTGTCGGGGACGTTAACATTTTGGCGGACTGTCCGTTGTCCGTGTCCCTGTCCCATGACAACACTGGGTACAGGTACAAAGAAAGATATTCAAAGGGTATAGAAATATAGAAGTCCTTTGAAAACTATTAAATCACCAGATCATATTAATCCTGAACTTAAGAGAATGTTGGATAATGATATTTAAATTATCTTTGATTGATACAATGAATTCAGAGATATCAAGGTAAAGTGAAAAGGATAGACTTTATGGTATGTGGCAAATTGTTGCATTTAAACGTTCCATTATTCAAACAAAAAATGAGCAAGAGTTTTATTCAGGCATTGAAGAATTACTGAAAAATCGTTACAAAATTCTTCGTTTTTGGAATATAGGGGAGTATCAAAAAATAATTGTGGTGATTATATTATTGTTATGGACTTTGTAGGAAAAGACTTGTTACGAGAAATCTTTATGCAAGTACACAATTAGAATGGAAAGATTAATTGATCCTCTTGCATTGCATTGCCTTTGATCCTGAATCAGGTTCATTCGCAGGAACTCGTTCACAGAAACTTACACAGTGGAAATATTTTGTAAACTCTTGCTTTGCATAGCGCATATGTTGCTAATCTTGGACTTTCTAGAAAAGTAGGAAAAATTTATGGAATCCTGCTATGTATAACACTTGAAGTTTTGGTGGGTCAACCGTGTATATGGTAATCTTTAGTAAAGGTGGGCAATTTTAATTTTGCTTATAAGTTGCTCACCCTTATTAAATATCACCTCCCGGGGTCGTAATCTTTAGCAAAGGGGGCAAGCTCCGACAATTTTAACTCCGGTGGCTTGTTATCACGAATCAAATCAGTTACACCATCCGGGTTAAAATTGCCCACCTTTACTAAAGGAAATCCGTATGGATATTTTGTCCGTATATCCATTTATACTAAAGATCAACCATTCATTCATTCAACGCGTATTTGTCCAATTCTTCCATTTTTAATAACAGGATCTCGGAGGCCAAGATTCATTACGTGCAACATGGAAAACATATTACATAAAAACAAAAGCTGTTATCATGGTCATTGATAGTACAGATAGAGATCGATTACATATATCCAGGGCAGAATTACATACGATGATGGAAGATGAGGTATTCACCAGATATTCCTATTCAATTTTTGAACCGTTATTGATTAACAATAATAATAAATATTTTGTCAAAAAATAAAGAATCTTAAAAATGCTGTATTACTCGTATTTGCCAACAAACAAGATATGAAAGGTGCATTAACAGCAGCACAAATTTCCGAAGCATTGAATTTGACAAGCATGCGGGATAGGCAATGGCATATACAGGTACCTATTAGAAATCATCAAACGTTGAGTTCGACAGGCGGCCCCCCAAAGTCCGGTTACATGATAGTCGATGATCCACACCCTGCCGGATACATGATGGTGATGATCCACAGCATATTATTTTATTTCATATGCGAAGTGACCCTTATCATACTTTTTTTGAATCGTGATGACGATTGTTGCAGCTGATGTTCGATCATCTACCATCATCCAGCAGGGTGTGGATCATCGACCATCATGTAACCGAACTTTGGGGGCCGCCCTGTCGAACTCATCAAACGTTTTGGATGTTGATTATAACACATTCAAATCATTTGATCGCGCACCTTTAAAAACAGATTTGAGCTTTTCTTTCTTACATATAAAATGAACGTCTATTTATAGGCTTGCTGCGCACTGACTGGTGAAGGGTAAGTTAATACAAATAGCGCAATTATTTTTATGTTTAGATATTAACAACCTTATTCATTATTAATTTTATGTAGATTATTTGAAGGACTGGATTGGATTGTTAGTCAAATAGCTAGTTCCTAATATTTTGCACGTTCATTTTTTGGTGAATGTGTAATTGTGTTAATTTGTTAATTAAGAATCACATTTTCATTGTGTTTTTATGGGAGTGTATAATATTTTTATATTAAAAAAAAAAAAAAAAATCAAGACTTTTTAGGAGAGTTATTTATTGTTAATATATGAGATTATAACCTTTAGATTTGATTATATACATTATACATAGATTTAAACCTTTTATTAATTCATAATAACTATATTATTGCATATTGTTAATTGTGGTAAAAATTTGTGAGGAATTAATTATCCAAGAAATAAACTAGAAAATATAGAAAACTATTGTGCAATATTTTATTTTATTTGTCACATTACTACACATATCGGATTTTAATTGTGAAGTGCATACACTGCAAACGTGGAATTGTTGATAGATTCGTTTTTTGCCTTGAAAATGACCTTACAGGACATAGTAATTACTATGTTCTATAAGGTTAATTTCAAGAAAAAAATACTATATGTGATAATCTAATAGTGGGAATATAATACTAACTGATCCATAAAGATTGTTTTATTCGAATAACAATTTTTACTATAATAAACCATTAATCTTTGACATCGCTTCTATCACATATCACGGGTGTCACGGCAAACCTATGTATAATGGCAAATTTTCATGTTACACAAATAATCAATTTTCAATTTTTTATTGTAGTTTTTTTTTGGCAGTTATATTACAACTTTATTTATATATTTATATGTAATACAGTATCTGTGCTAACTATAGATGGCGGTGAAATTTTTTTTTTTTTTTTTTTTAACTCTTTGACAGTCTTGTCAAAGCTCAAATACAAAACTTAATTTATTTAATCAACAACAGTAAACCATTCCAACTAAACTAAGCTTTTAAATTGCAAGTTTGACATCTCCCAGCTGTGAAAACCATACTCATGAGTGACTCATCGCACCATCTTGTATACAAGTTGGGTAGACCTTGTCAGCCTATCAAGAGCTAATCCCTTTAATTCTTCTTTCTTTATTTTATTTTATTATTTTTTTTTAAGCGATCCTGCCTTTATTCATGTGAACTGTTATATAATTTTTACACCCATGTGTATAAAATTCTTACAACTTATTGCTCTAACGTAATAAAGACTCACCAAGCATAAATGCCCAATGTGACCTGCTATAACAACTGTTCGTCTACTCAGGGATCATGAACTTACTCATGATTTCATATCCCAAAGGGTTACTCCTCCTCAATTACGGACTGGCCATTGTATACCTCGTCAGGATCACCAACCTTTCTTCCAACTTTTTCCACCAAAATCTGAGCAGAATAACTATCTCCTACTCTTCTATAGGCAAGATCATATATACTACGTTTATAAAAGACCAAAAACATTTAGGAGAATGAAAGGAAAATTAAAACCAAAAACCACAGAAAGAAACTATCCTAAATATAATTCCATCATAAATAGACTAGCAAAAAAAGTAAAAAAGAAAAGTTAGCGATCCCAACGAGAAAAAGGAAAAATGCACTATTATAACCCATACCAGGCGAGTATAAAAATTATATGCTTATAGCAACACTGCATATTTCTATTGTAAGGCTTTACCTATACTATTAATTCCTCTCCGACCCTACTATCTCCGGAAGTCTTTGCCCGGGTTCTTCTAATTAGGTATTGTCATCGTCCCATGCCAACTCTTCAGTTTCCAGCGGCCCCGAGCCAAAACCGGTAGCACCATATCCACTTATCAGACACGTGATTGCCATCTACTACGTCAAACGGATATGGAAATGTAAACACTGTGTAACCTATACCGATCGTTTGGAGGGAGTAAGCCAAATTTCCACTTTTTGTCAAAATTTTTGGAAGACCGATGGGAGGGCGAGTAAAAGAAAAAAAAAAGAATCCACCTGGCCAAGTAAAAGAGTGCAGCTTTGAAGAAAGACAAGTACTTGTTGTTTTCCCTGTGTTTTTCATTTTGAAGTAACAGCCTAAGTGCTTCGTTGACAGAGAAGACTCCAGTCTCTCTACCAAGATTTTGTATCCAAGAGTACATACCTCCTGCCAGTTATCTTGTATACCAACGCTCTTGGCTTGCATACCAAATACACAGCTTATAAAGGAGTCCCAGAAGAGAAAAACCATTAACCTCTAGGCAAACTACATGTTAGGCCATGACTCTCTAACAAGATTTTTGTTTTTCTTCGATAGGAAATTCTGGTCCAAATGATCGTCGAGAAGGGATGAAGAATTGTTCTTCTTTCTTTACTGAGAGCAAAAAAAAGTAATGATTTTATATTAACACTACAAAACCACTAAATTATGAAAAAAAAAAACTATATTTAATAACAACACAAAATAAACGAAAAAGAAATTTTAAAGGAAAAAAAAGAGGGAAAAGACATATAAAAAAAGAAAAACAAAAAGAAAAACTAAAAAGACTGACAAAATAGAGTGCTACCTCTATTAAGAAACTGTCAAGCAACCTGAAGATTGTCACGAAAAAGAAAAATACATTATTATAACCCATGCCAAGTTACAATAAAAATTATACAGTACAGAACAGTAAAAGACATCCAATCTATACATATAGGCACCAATTTTGGTGCTTATATAATCAATTCTGATTGGCTAATTTTTGTGTAATTGATTTGATTGGTTAAAAATCTATATATGTTTTCTTTTTTTCTATATTAAACGCCAATTTTTTGAACTCCTATAAACTTTAATCTTTTATAACTTTTTTGAAACAAAGAATAAAAAAAAATCCTCTGACGGAAATGTAGTTTAGTTAAAAATTTATCAATTTGTCAGAGGTTTTTTGATTTGATTTTTTTTAAAAAAGTTATAACAATTTAAAGTTTTACTAATAAGAGTAAATATCTTTTACTGTCCGGTACTATATAACAATTACAACCATTGTATAGTAGTGACAAAAGGGGAGTTCTGGCACAGCAGTATTGTTCTTGCATATAATTTAATATTTGCATCATCAGTTCAATAAAAATTATCTAGAACACATTTATTTGCCCAAATTCATATCAAAAAGGATATCATTTTGTCATAGTGGGTATAAATTTGCATTTGTGTCGTCACTTAAATGACGATAAATTTGTGTTTGCATCGTCATTCTAGCTCAGTGATATTATTTTTTGTATATCTAGAATGCAATCTTTTGCTCAAATTTATATCAAAAAGATAACAATTATTTATACTATCTTGTTTGCTATTATTTAGGCATCAAAAAATCTCAATCAGTATACTAATATTTTTGTATATCTAGAACATATTCTTTTACCTAATTTTATAACAAAAAGAATACAAATATTAATTGTTATATTAGAATTCATTCTAAAGTCGATTTTTTACTACTTTCTGGCACAAAAAATGTGACCCATATATACCAAAAGGATAATAAAAAATATATACATATATAACAAAGGGTAACAAAAAATATAACCATATATACCAAAGGGTAACAAAATTTCAATAAGGGTCACAAAATTTCGTATTATATATTAAAAGTTAACAAAATATAGGCCAAGTTTTTTCACTTATTTAAGATCTATTTTAAAAGCCTTAGCACGTAATCTATCATAGTACTGGACCACATAGTACCCCGAATATGTAATGGGCAACGACTAGAAGTTGAACTAGTTGGTTTACCACATTTACTACAAGGTACTTCTTTTAGCTTTCCAATGATAACTACATCCTTCAGGATGCATACTGTTTTTTCCACAAATTTCACTAGTATTATAATAAAATGGACAAGTATATTCACCAATCATTTTTATATATATATACTAAAATATTTATTTAAAGAAAAGATTTTATAAAGTATTAAATACAAAACTTTAGATAATTAAAACATGTTATGTATTCAAATACAAGATACCCAAGCCAAACCTACATACCAAGAAGTAGAGCAAGCTTTAATTAATGTAGTTAAAGCAGGGCTCTATTATAGATATACATGTTGGCAAAACTAAAAATCTTCAAAATCCCACCCAAACCCAAATCCCAATTGGATAAACCCCAAATCCCAAACTGGACAAATCCCATACCCAAATCCCAAACTCATCCCAAATCCCAATCCCAAATCCCGCCCAAATCCCAAATCCCGCCCAAATCCCAAATCCCAAATCCCAAACCCAAATCCCAAACACAAATCTTTGTTTTTGAAATTTGGAGTTTTTCAAAGAAAACCTTTTCTTTACTAAACAAACCTTCTTTCAACTTCTAAGTAAAGTTGTAGAGAAGTATTGTGCATTTTAGTATTTGTAACTATATGTTTTCTTCTTTATTTATATAAAGAAAACATATAATTGCAAAGACTAAAATAT